AAAAAAAAAAGAATAAACTTGTCAAATATTATTCTGTGCAACCGATAAACTGACCTTAAAAGTTGCATAGATTTTGGTAAATAATAAGCAATTGTAAACGAACTAAGTACCATCGCTAACGTATGACCAGAGAACAATAAATCACCGCATAACATCTTTTGGTTAGAATCCTTTAAAAGAAATAAGTAATAACAATTGTTAATAACTGCCAAGTTTTTAAAATTATGTCATCAGATCTGTGTCAGTTATGTGACCAAATTTTATTATCACAGATATGTTTACCTGAAATCCCAGTTGTATAAATTGTTGTAATGTTCGTTGTACAAGAATAGTAAATGCTGGTTTATCCACTATCGGTCGACATCTTGAATAATTATCAGCATATCCAGACGGAAGTTGGGTGGACATCATTGAGATCGTACGCATCGTATACAAGGAAGCTGCAGACTGCCAACTGCATAACGAAAACATAATCATCGGACCATTTTTGGTCCCAAAAAGTTTCGAAAAAAAAAAAAAATTTTTTTTTGGCTGTTTTTTTTTTGTTATTACATTGAAAAATTTGTTTAAAAAAAAATTATACTTTTCTTTTTCTTGAAACTTTAATTTGTCATTAAAATTTTTTTGTTACATAGTTGGTTATGGTTAAAATGACCACAGTATTAAAAGACAAAGATTAGTTGACAAAACAGTATCAGGTGATTTTAAAGCAATAGACTAGACAAAGCAATATTATCTGTTCAATATACCTATAAGTCATCAATTAATTTTGGAAGTGTAAAAAACTTTCTAGAAAAAAGTTTATAGTTTAAAAAAATTTTTTGCTAATTATCAAGTTTAATTCATACTGCCCAACTTCAATTGATATGACTTCTAAACAAAAGAAACATTTTGACAAAGCATTTCAACAGATTTCCAAGATAAAAATATTGATAATTTTGAAGACTAAGCCAAATTTATCAACTGCACTATATCTACTAAATTTACTGCTAAATATTCAAATAATATAATAAAGAAAAAAAAAAGAACAATTTAATCTTGTTAAGGGCTGTCATTAATAGCAAATGCAGTAACCGAGAAAAAATTGACTAAATGCGAAGTATAAGGCTTAAATCGCAAAAATGTTTAGAAGTTAATTAGACAAAACTCTAATGAATCCTAAAAAGCTTCGCAATGCTTGTAACAGACCAAATATAACAGAAGAAATACCGCTTAATTGAACAAATTTTTATCAGATCA